ATACAAAAAGGCCTTCACTTAAAAAAGGTTTTGTATTTCATATACAGTATTATTGAAGTTGGCCCACAGCCCTCTGATAGATTTCCATTTTGGCCCTCTTGGGGAAAATTTTGGGCACCCCTGATTTACATACATATACGCACAAATACACTCATGTTTTTTCGATACTGTAAAAAAATGACCAGACGGCTGACATGGCTCCCTACTTCAGTTACTCCTGGCTGTGCAGCATCACTAACTCTATCATGATCAAACAGATACCACTCAACCATTTCCTCTCCCAAAACAGAAACACAAAGCTTTAGAGTAGCAAATCAATATCGGACGTTAATATTGGCCCAGTTGAAAGTATCGGACCAATACAGATACCCTAAAACATGAGTAGTATCGACAGATACCAGTGTTAATGCTGATATATCATGCATCCCTGCTTTGCATTATTAGTGCTGTTTGAAAACATCAAACGCTATATTGTGGTTTATTTATGTTATTACTGTCAAAAATTGTAGACAGATTAAAATATGACGTTCCGTTGACTTTATTTTTCAGATTCACATTTACAACCTGGAGACGAGCAAACCAACAATCTGTGTCGGCAGCTCTCCGGGAGATTTCACCTGCATCAACCTGAGAGACAGCCCCCCTCATCTGCTGGTGTGTGGAAACAAAGACAGGAGGTAAGGATGCTAAAGCACACACCTCACTGCAGACGGTGAGTAAAGCAAAATAAAAGAAAAACCGAGCCAAGAACTTGTTGAGACGTTTTCCCCCATCGACACCTGATGAAAGCTTGGAAGCCGAGGCTGGAAGCAGAACAGGTGTTCAGAGAACGTGTGAGAAGACAAAACTCTATTATATCAGTACATTAGTCAAGAATCTGTTTTCTTGACAAAACAAAGCTTGTAAAAGTTTCCTGGAGAAAAAAAGGCAGGCACTGATATTTTTACACGAGTTGTTTTGCTCCTTGTCTCTGCCATCATCTAGTGAATGTTAATAATAACAGAAATGTTTGTCTTGATTCAGTTCAGCGGCAGATAAACACATTCATGAATGCACACATTTTTTTTGCCACTTCCTGGCTCTCCGTTTAAAGAAAAGACAGATAAAAGACCCATTCTCATCTATTCTGCTCTTGTTAGTGGGTGCTGCCGTGCAGAAGATGCCAGAAAAGGAGAAATCTCTGGCATGTCCTCATCTAAAGCTGCCCCCGCTGTTTCTATTCAGCCCTAAACCCATCTGGCTGTTAAGTAGTTGGCTTAAAGCGAAAGAGAGACTACATCACACTGTTTAGGTTCTGGTCCTTTTCCTTACTAGTTCTGATGAACAACACCTGCGCAAACACAAAGAAAGACCCTGTTGAAAATGTTGTGTCTGTGGTTTCGTTCTTGGCTTATTGATCAGCTTTTGCCAGCAGAAGGAACACAAACGAGCTTGGCTCTTCCGCTTTGGCTTCTGCCGATAAAGCTCCGAGTCGAGGACAAATGGTAATGGGAGAGACTGAGAGACAGTCGGCAAACTTGGCCCTTCGTCAGGGTGGCTTCAAGCCAAAGCCTAATGCATCCCCTTTTTTTTACCCAGACGTCACTCTGGATATTTTTTGTCACATCCAAGGAGCGAATTAGGTGTTCAGATAGGGGCTGTCTGGACAAAAGAACACATCTGTGCAAACAGAAAGGATGTGAGAGGGGGACGGGACAGTAAATAGAGGGGGGGACGGGAAGACATACCTGTGTGATTCAGGTTCTGTACAAACATTTATAGATGGTGTATTGAGCTAAATGTGTTTGTGGGAGTAGCTGAGACTGATCACTGATGTTTATTCTGAGCATTAACAGATTATGGAAAATCTTTGTTTCAATTTTTGGCATTTGAAGTTTTCAAGTTAAAGGCGGGTACACCTGGTGTAACCAAAGACCTCGGCTGAATCCACCAACCAAACCCACATGAAAGCGGTTCAACATTATGTGTTTCACATGCATACAGTTCAACTCAGTACCATAATAAAGTTACCTTCAGTTGTTGTGAAAATGTTCTTTATATTTATATATATATATATGTAAATCAAAAATAAACATGATTTCACATCATAGCTGTTTCTAAACGCCTTGAAATTGGCCTCCGTCACCCCCATTTCTGCTCTCTACTTCAAGTATTCCTGGCTGAGCAGCATCACCATCACTATCATGATAAAAGAGATATTGCTCAATATGTTTGGGCGATTTTGGCAAAAAAAAAATCACAATTAATTGTGGTATTTAGCCAGTAACGATTAAAATGTTGATTAATATCCTGAAGTCCCAGGATGCCTCATATCCTAGTCATATGACCAGTTTAAATCACTTAAGTGGGAAAGATTTGTTCGCTGTAAGAATCTGTTCCAAATTGTGTCAAAGTAAAGACTTCAGGCTATACATCAATGTTTCAATTGTGTTGATAGGCCAAGTAAAATCGTAGTTATGATAAATAAATTACAGAACTTTCAAAAAAAATGTTTGTAAACAACAGTGGACAGACCGGGCCAAAAAATAATTCTTATACAAACTAGAGAAATTGCATTTCCTGCTAAAACGCTAGTGTGAATGCTTCTTGCTGAAAACTTAAGCTCAAAGCTGCTGAAATTAAGCTGAATATATTTAACGGAAATAGTGTTATTGTGAGTTCATTTTAAAAAGCTGAAAGAGGGGAAAAAACAACTTTGCAGAAAAAATGAGCAAAAATATAGCTGAAATAGTAGAAAAAAGTTAAAATAGCTGTAAATGGAGAAAGCAACTGTAAGAAACAAATAGCTCAAATTAGCAGAAAGAAGCACAAAAAGCAGAAATTAGCAGAATAGCAGAAAGAAGCAGAATCATAGCAGACATAACAAAAAAAGCTAAAATTGGCTAAAATAAAATTAATTAGCACATGGTACCTACAATGAGCAGAACCAGAACAAAATGTGTACGTTTATGTAAAGATTTAGAAACATTTTAAAGATTTTGAGCATGTTGAAAACAGATCCATTCATTTTCAATGGCAAAAAAGTGGCTAAAAAAGTGAAATAGCTGAAAAAGTAAAACTAGCTGAAATACCAAAAGTCAAAGAAGAATTGTCATAAATGAGCTGAACATTTTGATATATAAATTGTTGAAATAGCACAAAAATTGTGGAACGAGTTAGATGCCAAAAAATGTATGGAAGAAAAAATGACCTCAGTAGTTCACACAATTAGCAAAGTTTTTCTGACGAATAATTGCACCGATACGATTCCCAACTCTTATCACTTGACCAACTACGTATCTCCTCTCCTTAAACAGAAACACAAAGCTAAAAAGTAGGAAATTATTAATATCGGATGTTAATATCGTCCCAGTTTTTTTTATCGGACCGATACCGATATTCTAAAAAAACAAGACAAATCAGCCAATACCGATGTAAATGCCGATATATCATGCATCCTTATTCACACACTGGAAGTAGGGTGTTGTCATAAAACAAAGGGAAGGAACAGCCTTTTTCACACGTAGCAGAAATCATGCAACTCTTGTCACTGTGCAGCGCGGCTCCACATTCTGGGCGAACATAACAATTCATCAGGAATATCGAGCTCTCTAGTGACCGCAGGACTAAGTCAGACATTATGCTAAGGATGATTTATGTCTTCTTCAGGCTTTAGGGGAAGGAAAAAAAGAAGCTGTTCAGGAGGTATTTGTGCCTCACCCACACTTTCTCTTGATTAATGAAGAAGAATCGGGCCAGTGACAGTTCACTGAAGACCGTCTCCTCCAGCATTATGTTTGTGGTTTCCTGTGGTCTGCCAGTAATCCTCAGACCTCATTGTTCCTGCGTGCGCTCCCGTCACGTAATGCCACTAAACAGGCGAAACTGGCTGCAGACAAACAAGTCCACAGTGCCCATTTAGCCATTTCAATCTGATTCTTTTAAAAAGTTTTGATAGCGGCAAAATGAAATCTGCCCGAGTCCCCAGAGTAAATTTGATTATGGTAATGAAGACTTGGAAGGAGGTTGAGCCTGGATGGAGTCATGTCCTGGATGCTTTCAGCTGCAATAAAGCCACACGACAACAGATGGAGCTGAAGCTCCCCTGGGCTTTTGTTGCTAATGAAACACACAAAGCACCAAAAAATAAAAAATTAATAAATAAATAAATCCTGCTCATGTTGCCTTTTATCCATCGCAGAAAAATCCCTTTAGAATGCCTCATAATTATAATTAAAGCTATCATAATAACTGATTATTCTAACTCTTAATTATCTGCAGAATGAAGGAGATGTTAGCACGAATTAATTAAAAACAACAGTTTATTTAAAGATTTACATTTGGAAACAGTTAAATGTAAAATGATTCAGGAAAAAAACTAGTTACAGCAAACTCTGCAACAAGTTTATTAATGATTTTCAACTTAATTTGAAATAGTTAAATATTTTTAAACAGTTTTTTTTTGTTTTTTGTCTCATAGTTTGTGTACAGCAGGATTCAGCAGTTCTGATGTGGCTGGTTTTAAATTATGTTTACTTGTAAAAAAACAAAACAAAACATAAATCCAACATTCCCCCCATTTTAACTGCCTACACACTGAAAATAACTCTTCATCACTGTGTTGGTCACTTTATCTTTGCATATTTATTGTGACAAACCCCCGTTTCACATGCAGGGGTTTCGTAATTGTTGTCCTGTTTATTTTTATTTATTTATTTTTAGTGATTTTGGTCAACTATAGCACGGAAACGGCTGCACCAATACACATGAAATTTGGCAGGAATATAGATGTCTGACCTACATTGCGCCAGCCAACGGTTTTACGATGAACCCCATATTAGAAGAGAGGGCTCCATCTGAAAAGTGTCTGGACATACAAAACATGCTTATAAATCAAACTGTTCACCATAGGAGCTTCAGATTTGTTTTTGTTTAGCTCTGATGAAGGGTTATCCATTGGGCCCACCAATTAGCATCCCCCACCCCATCCTGACCCCTACCCAAAACAATAAATCCATTCTGATGACTTCTGAGTTCTTGTGCAGTGGTGCTTTGCATACAGCAGGTAAATAAGTATTGAACACGTCACCATTTTTCTCAGTAAATATATTACTAGAGGTGCTAATGACATGAAATTTTCACCAGATGTCGGTAACAACCCAAGTGATCCATACATACAAAGAAATCAAACCATAAATGTCCAGAAATGAAGTTATTTGTAATAATGTGGAATGGCACAGGGAAAAAGTATTGAACACATGAAGAAAGGGAGGTGTAAAAAGGCATGGAAAGCCAAGACACCAGCTGAACTCTCTCAGTAATTAGAAAGCAAGCCTGCCCCTTGTCAGTGCAAGTTTATATCAGCTGGTTCAGTCCCAAATGATGGCCAGGTATCACACAAGAACCATCTGATGATGGGTAAAAGTAAAGAGCTCTCTCAAGACCTTCACAACCTTATTGTTGCAAAGCATAATGATGGCATCGGTTACAGAAGAATGTCTAAACTTCTGAAGGTTCCAGTGAGCACTGTTGGGGCCATAATTCAGAAGTGGAAAGAACATCATTTCACCATAAACCGACCACGACCAGGTGCTCCTCACAAGATTTCTGACAGAGGAGTGAAAAGAATTATCAGAAGAGTTGTCCAAGAGCCAAGGACCACTTGTGGAGAGCTTCAGAAAGACCTGGAATTAGCAGGTACGATTGTTTCAAAGAAAACAATAAGTAATGCACTGAACCACCATGGCCTGTATGCACGCTCACCACGCAAGACTCCACTGCTGAAGAAACAGCATGTTGAAGCTCCTTTAAAGTTTGCTGCACAACATTTAAACAAGCCTGTGTAATACTGGGAGAATATAGTCTGGTCAGATGAGACCAACATTGAACTGTTTGGATGCCAGAATACACATCATGTTTGGAGGTCAAATGGCACTGCACATCAGCCCAAAAACACCATACCAACAGTGAAGTTTGGAGGTGGGAACATCATGGTGTGGGGCTGTTTTTCAGCATATGGTACTGGCAAACTTCAAATAATTGAAGGAAGGATGAGTGGAAAAATGTACAGAGACATTCTTGATAAAAATCTGCTTCCATCTACCAGGATGATGAAGATGAAACATGGCTGGACATTTCAGCAAGACAATGAGCCCAAACACAAAGCCAAGGAAACTCTCAGTTGGTTTCAGAGAAAGAAACTAAAGCTGCTGGAATGGCCCAGCCAATCACCTGACCTGAATCCAACAGAAAATCTATGGAAAGAACTAAAGATCAGAGTTCATAGAAGAGGTCCACGAAACCTTCAAGATTTGAAGACTGTTTGTGTGGAAGAATGGGCTAAAATCACACCTGAGCAATGCATGCCACTAGTTTCTCCATACAGGAGGCGTCTTGAAGCTGTCATTGACAACAAAGGCTTTTGTACAAAGTATTAAATAAATTTCAGTAAGCGTGTTCAATACTTTTTCCCTGTGCCATTCCACATTATTACAAATAACTTCATTTCTGGACATTTATGGCTTGATTTCTTTGTATGTATGGATCGCTTGGGTTGTTACCGACATCTGGTGAAAATTTCATGTCATTAGCACCTCTACTAATATATTTACTGAGAAAAATGGTGACGTGTTCAATATTTATTTTAACGACTGCATAAGTTTATAAATTTGTTAACCAAGTCTATGCATAGTTTTATAGCCAAATAAACCCTGCTCAGTAAACCAGAGTTCTTTCTCCTTTCTCCCCTCTATGACGCAGGGTGAGGGTGTTCGACCTGCGAACCGGCTCCTCCGCAGCCTCCCTGTACGCCCACCACCTGGGCGTCACCTGTGTTCAGGTGGACGACTGGAAGATCGTGAGCGGCGGGGGCGAAGGCTTGGTGTGCGTGTGGGAGATGAGGATGGGAGCTAAGCTGTGGGAAATGCACAACAGGTGAGAAATCTGATTTTTATTTATTTTTTGATACAAAAACCTCTCCAGAAACATCGTATAACCTTAAGTGTATTTTTTTTTCTTGACAAATATCAATGCCGTATCATTTCTTCAGACACATCTACTAAAATAAATGTAACTTACATGTTAGGGGTACAGGCTGAGGGTGTTGTGTGTGTTTTCGAAGGCATCCTGTGAGGCATGTCCGCTTCAACGCCAGCACGCTGCTAACAGCCAACATCCCTGATGACAAGTCGCCACGAGGAGCCTGCATCACAGACGATGACCTCACCGCTCATCGCAGGTCTTAATCTGCCTCAGTCTACCCCTTACTGGTTTATGAATTAGAAATAATCTGTAATTGGTAATAAAATGCTTGTTATGATAGTTTAGCTTGATTAGGGTAAAGAAACATTGTTTGATTTCTCTGTGGTTAATATTAGAATACAGTCAGCTGTGTTGTTCACTGTCTGTTTAGAGATTGTTTTCCCAACAATTATAGATTCAAATCATTTATTTTGACATGGCATCCTCAAGACAATTACAGTACTTAGTTATTATAGTACTATGTGATCATTGTTAAAACCTGCCCAGATCTCTTGTTGCTGTAACTGGCATGCTGTCACTCCGCAGACACAGGGGAGTCATCTGCCATTACGACTTTTCAGAGGACACGCTGTCACAGGATCACGTCTTACCCATCTGCAGGTCCGACTACATCGAATCATACGGCTACAACTACAACATTAACCTGGCGGTGCCCTACGACAGGCTGGCTGGCTCCCATCTGGCTCACTGATGTGCAGTTTTCAACAGAGCAAATAAAACCCTGATGATGTAACTGAATGGACAAAATGAACAGTTGGATTCTCCATCTGCCTTTTTTTAAATTTTATTATTCTTTTTAAATGACAGCTTTTTAAATGTTGTACTTCAGTGCTCAAATGAAGCTCTTGCAACTCCTTATCACACATGTAAAACTTCACTGCATATTTATTTTCAATGTTTTACTTCCTAGATTTGACACAGTGCAGTTCTGCAGCCCAACAATAAAAAAAGGCATTAATAGCTTGATTTTCTCAATAAAATGTGTTTACGTCCATCAGTTTTTCTACAAAATCCAGACTTTTTTTTCCTGATTGATATCCTATTTTACAACAAAAACTATTAAGTCCCAGCAGGAATAAAATACCCCATTCTTCTGGCTCTGCAGAGGAATGGTACGAGCCTGCAGGCTTCACAATGGGAAGCACAGCAGTCGACCCGTGAATGTCAGATGACTGAGTTCCTCTGACGTGAACATTTTTAGAAATGTTGAAGAATCTGTAGAAACCTGTATGAAAAGTCAGGCTGAAAGTCAGTGATCTTCAGGCCCTCAGGCAGCACTGATTCAAAAAAAAAAAAGGACATCAATGCATGATCAACACATGCAGGTTCATTCAACATAAACACATTTCTAAAACATACAAGCAGAGATACTTATTATAAAAACAAACATTAAAATTAGTTTACACGTTTAAAAATATATTAGTGCATGTTACAAGTCTTTGGCTTAATTTTACGGAAGGTAGTTCTGCAAAAAACAGCAGCGACATAAAGAATTCCTTCAAACAACAAGTCCTTCACATGGTTGCTTTCCCACAATGCATCGTTTCTGTGTTGACATCCAGAAAACGGATGTACATCCTGGACTCTAGCTCCAGGCGCTGTAACATCTGTGAGACGACAAGCAAATCTCTCATTTAAAAAAAAAAAAAGGGACAAAATATATTGTTCATCAGCAGAACGTTGGGGGAAATGCAAACCTGTTCGAAATGCTCCAACGTAATCCCTGCGTAGAAGTCATTCGGGCCCTGCGGGGAGCAACGAGGCGTGTGAGACTTTGATTTGTTTTAGCGGTTCAGTTTCAGGGAGTTGTGTTACCATTTGAGGCTCACTGGCGCTCGCCACCTCCAACATGGCAGCGTCTGCTATGGCCCTGGCAGTGTCCGGCCCCATGGCGTCCGGCCCCATGGCGCCACTTTTTGACAGAAGCTCCATGACAACCTGCGCAAGAACAGAAGACCGAAAGGATCAGAGGTAAGGAAGTTGTATGTATTAAGTAAAGTTTGGTGTTACGTAACATTTTAGATTTGCTGTTATGTAGTTGGTTTATATCTTAATTTACCTATTATATATTATATTATATTATATCATATCATATATCATATTATATCATTTTATTTATATTATATTTACATTCTGGTTTATTAATATGATTTGTTGCTCGAAAAAAAGAGTAAGCTTGTTTTTTATTTTTCAATTTTTGTCTTTGTTAATTGAAGCTTTACTGATAATATATGGATTTAAACCATTATTTGATTAGTATTGTTGAATTTAATGTTATGTTTGGAAATGGGGGCAGATTTTTTTCTTCTACCTTTCATTTCATATTATTTTCATTCAATTCATTTTAATATCTATGTGTATGGTTTTTTTTTTTTTTCGTTTTTCTCTCATTTTGTTTTATGTTTTGAATGTATTTTGTTTTGTTTAAATGAAATAAATAAACTAAACTAAACCACTAGGTCAGATTTTTAGGACAAATCCTACAATAAATGTTTGAATCAGAGGCTGTGTCCAAATTCAGAAGCTGGTTCCTCCAAAGGCCAAATTTGTCAGCCGCTTACGTCACTTGTTAATGTTTTTAATCATTTGTATGGACGTGTTTATTATAATATTTTAGTCAGAAATCAAACGAGCTGGAATAGCGAAATAACCATACACCTGCAGCGACTCTTCAAATATTGCCTTTACGCTAGGGTTGGACGATATTGGCAAAAAACAAAAAGTATCATGATTAATTGTGGTATTTAGCCGATAACGATTAATATGATGATAAATCCCGTGGAGTCCCTGGATGCCCTCGTCACATTTACGTAAATCACTCCAGTGAGAAAGATTTGCTCTCCGTAAAAATCGGTTCCAACTTGTGTCAACAGTACAGACTTCAGACTTTACATCAAATTTTAAATTATGTTGATAGACCAAGTAAAACCAGAGTTATAATTATTAAATTACAAAACTTTTATTTTAAATGTTTGCTATATTTGAAGCGGAGAGGAGCATCGACTGAACGGGGAAATCTCCAGTCAGTCTTCCTGCTGGCATTAATCATATTAATTGTCAAGAGCCAAAAAAAAAAATTTTAATTAAAGTATTTCTGACAATAAACTGCACACAATATGATTCTGCCCGGTCCTACTTTATGATAATTTTATTGTATGATATTAATGCTATTATATTGATATTTTGCTAATTTCGATCTATTTCTGCTTCTGCTCCCCTGCCTACCTGGTCTAGGTGGGCCGGGCGTGGTCTGAGTTTGGACACAGGGACACACACACTGCAAAAAAATGTCTAACCAAGTTTTAAAACCTTATATCTTATTTTGAGACTGATTTACTAAACAAGAACTGATTGTGTAAGAATATTTGTCTTGTTATCTGGAAAATTTGACTCAAATTAAGTCAAAAATTTCTGCCAATGGAGTAAGAAAATTTTACTTGGTAAGATTCTTGAAATACTTGATTTGACTCGATATTTTCTTACTTCAAGAATCTTAAGTAAATTTTTCTTACTCCATTGGCAGAAAGTTTTGACTTATTGAGTCAAATTTTTAAGCTAACAGGACAAATAATCTTACACATTCTGAAAACAAGATGATTATTCTTACACAATCAGTTCTTGTTTAGTAAATCAGTCTCAAAACAAGATCAAAAAGTCTTTTTGGCTGATATAAGATTTTAAAACGTGATTAGATGGACAGTTTTTGCAGTGCAACGCTAAAAACCTCTAGAAGGTTTTCTCTTTCTCAATTCAGTGCAGTTTTTTTTCCTCACCGTTTTTCCATAATTACTAAAAAGAAAAAACAGTTTTCATCCCTCCACCTGCTGTACCTTCTAACCAAGGCAAAATAAAAATGTAAAATGTAAAAACATGTATAGTTTACATTATGCTGTGGCTAAAGTGCATGCATGTGCATGTTTGGACCCTCGGCTCGTACTTGAGCACAGCACAGTTTAGATGGGAGGAAATGTTCGGTTCGTCTGTTTAATGCGTTTAAACATGATTATAGCAGGGAATGTACATCATGCATCAAACAGGAGAGGAATCAGATTTGCTTCATTTAAAAGCTCCTGACTCAAGGTCACCTTTTGTTTGGGGAAAACTGTGGATTTTAAAACCCAAAATTAACTTGACCTTAATTAAATTCATTGGCAATTTGATTACTCTGTCCACTGTTTGTGCTCACAGATTTGCATATAACAGATTTGATCTGAACTGATTCTTTGTTTAGAAAATGCTTTTTAAAAACATTGACATTGAGATTAACCGTCTGGGGTCTAAACAGGGATACAAGCTTGTTTTGTTGTTTTAATAATTGGATATGCTGCATAATTCACTGTAAAGATTAATGAGCTCTTCAATAATTTCACTTACAGGCAGTTTTATGTTGCATAAAAAGCATCTAATTAGGTTGGTTATTTATTTATTTACCTTCCTGTATTCCTCCAGAGTAATGATGCCGTCACTGTCGGTGTCGTGCATGTTGAACAAAACTGGAAAGACAAGTTTGAGAGGATTTTCAGGTCAAAACAAAACAAAAAACGCTTAGTTTTATTTGGTAAAAGGAATACTTGAATATTAAAAAGTTCAAAAATAAATCAAGCCAACAGACCTCTTTATTCCTTGATTAAACCCATGTAGCTTTTGAGTTTTTATTCTACAAATGTGGACCAACGGTTCTTTCAAACCCTGAAACACTCAGAGCAGCAACATGAAAAATGTTTTCACTGCAACTACAGTTAAGTTCTGGTTCACCCTCTCCGGGAACTTCACTTTCAATTGATTCATTTCATCAAAACAAAACAAATAATTTTATATACGATATACAATAAAAAGAAAAATGAGAGAAAAAATACATGTATATCAAAATCACAAATAAAATGAAATGAAAGGCAGCAGAGAGAATAAAAAAATATAATATCTTATAAAAACTTCACTTTTATCGGTTTCAATTACACTCTACTACGTGTTCCTAATTACTAGACACTTTTTTAATTTTTATGTCTGTACAGACATACCTGACAATTACAGTTCACTTTAGATATTAAGTAATTTTTTAACCAGTTTTTAAAGAATCCCCTTTTCCTCATATAAACAGTCTGCAATTATTTGAGTGACTTGGTTGCAAACAGTCCGATTTCAAAGTCTGCAACTGAAAATTCATTGAAAATGCTTAAAGGCCTGTCACACTATGACGTTTTATGACTATGACGTTTACTTATGAAAGGTTTGGAGACATCCTTGTTGAAGGTGGAATTAATAAAAAAAAATCAACAGGAAGCCTCCTTTAGGCGTGTACACACTGTAATGCTAACAAATTCATAAAACATCTAACTCTTAGTAATTTAGTGGAAAAATAAATTTCATAAGTTGTCTAAAACATCATCGTGTGACAGGGCCTTTACAATTTTTAGTCTCCAGCTGTTGTGGTCCAGTGAGATATTAGCTCAAAGCTAGCACCTACATGCAAATAAATAAACAAACAAATACCGTAAATAAATAAATAAATAAATAAATAAATAAATAAATAAATAAATACTTTGCTCAGTCAGGTATCAAGTTACAGGTCACAAGATTTAATCTATTATTGTGAGGTTTAGTGTAAATACATTTTACTAAAACCAACAAAGTTTCTCAGCTTCAACAAGTTTACTTTAATCTGAGCAAATAGTCATTTGTTCCTCAATGTGTACAAAATCATGTGATCAAATAGTTCAGAGGAAGGCAGAATTTCATGGCGTCTGTGAAGATAAGAACCATGTGGTTAAAGTGGTTAAACTTTTATTCGTAAAAAACTATTTTTCACCCTTGAAAGCGAATTTAGTCTATCATAAGTTTAACAGGAATTGTGTTTACCCCATAGTAAATATTTTTACATTTGTTTAATTCATCAGTTGTATCTGTGAGCTACAACATGACATCATAAACCTAGCATAAGTGAAGCATTTTAGCTGTGGGAAGAAATAAAGGGAAAATGGCAGCTTTGGGGTAGGTTGAGCCACTGGTTTAACTTAAGAAAATTCTGAAACAGGGATTCACTTCTAGTGTTTTCTTTTCAAATGTTAGTGTTCGCTTCCCAAGCACTCTTGAAAGTACTATTTTTTTAAATAAACAGCAGTTTTGCAGTAAGTTGTAACAGTAAAAAAGTTATTGTACCGGTTGAATTGTGTACAACAAATAAAATACACTTGATGGGGGAAGGATGGGAAGATGAGTGAGTGTACTTGTTTTTGTTACCTTTTTAGGACGGTTTCTGGTATACACACCTACCATGGCCAGTAGTCCTAATGGGGACCAAAGACCGGTCCTAATATGGTGGAACTTTATTTTTGGGTTGGGGGTTGGGTTTAGGACTATGGTGTGAATTGAGTTTAGGTTACTTTTAGGGTCAGGTAGGTACCTGTGAGGTTAGTTGTTGGGTAAGTGGTCAGTGTTAGGCTGTAAACCAGGGGTGGGCAATCCTGGTCCTCGGGGGCCGCAGCCCTGCATGTTTTATTTTTTCTCTGCTCAAACACACCTGATTTGAATGAATGGGTGATTATCAGGCTTCTGTAGTACGGAGAACCGAAACGGACATAATTAAAAATAAAAGCGGAAATATATAAATTGACTAATAAATAAATAAATAAATACATTTAAAGTGCACCAATATAATTCAAAAAGGAGACTTTTATTTAACATATATACTGTATGTAATATATATCTATATATATATATATATATAAAAACAGTAAAATGTAAATTATGTGCAAAACTATATTAGTTGTTGGAACTAAGTTGGAAAAATAAATACGAAGGTCAATTAAATTATAAAACGTGAGGTAAAGCTCTCCTTTTTTAATTTAACTAGTGCATTTTTAATTGAATTTATTTATTGGTCCATTTATATATTTCTGCTTTTTTTTCTAGTTATGTCAGTTTGGGTCCTCCATACTGCAGGACTTGGAAGAGGTCATTTAATGTCTGAATCAGGTGTGTTGGAGGAGGGAAAAACATAAAACCTGTAGGGCTGCGGCCCTCGAGGACCAGGATTGCCCACCCCTTCTGTAAACACTACTGGAAATGAATGGAAGTCAATGAACGGTCCTAATACAAAATGTGTGTGTGTGTGTGTGTGTGTGTGTGTGTGTGTGTGTGTGTGTGTGTGTAGGGGTGGGTTTTAGGGATGTGGCCATGAGACAACATTTTTGATCATGCTACATTATCAAAACAGTTGTGTTACTCATTCTGATTGTTTGAAGAGAGGCACAATATCTTGAAATATATGCAGATGTGTAAATTAGTGACCACATTATGGTTGCCTTCATGTAGAGATCCTAAATGTGAAAAATGACTCATCTTCCTCCGGTCTCCCTACGTGTGTGTGATGAAATGTGAACCACCTGCGTGGAGCAGCAAACAGGTTATAACAAGGTTTTATGACGACATCATCATCTGAAATATTTCCTGTGTCAGCCACGGTCATGTTTCCAGCAGAGACATGTTCACATGTCACAGTTCACATGCTGGCAGGAATTCTGTTCTTCTGAATGTGCATGTGTGTGCATGCATGACTGGAATAACAGAGCTGTCAGGGTGCGATGTCGTTTTCTTCCTGTTATTTTGGCGTTCAGATACACGAAGACGGAGCTGTAGACAAACAACAACATTACGTTCTTTTTAACATATTTTACTCACAGCGAACTTTCTCCTTCCTCATCGCCATCTTCTCCTCCTCGTTGGTTTTTAAAGTCGGGGGTCGGAAGTGAGACATGACCATGAGGAACTGCTCGAAACCGATCTGGTCAAAAGATCCGGTTTCATTCTCATGCTGGTTTCTGGAGGACAGTGTTGCAAAACATTAGTTTTAAACCGAACTCAGCTGATTTTTACAGCTGTAAATGTTACAGAGGCTGCAGCACACAGCGTGACCTGCCTCATCACAAAACCCTGAAAATATGAGCTTTCAGCTCAATCTGAAGAACTGACTTTTATCTTTGTGTGTAACACATGTTGACAGGGCTCGTACAGTCACAGAGAACCTATTGTTGTTTTACAGAAAAGAGCTGTAAGAATTATCACCAGGAAGTGTTACTATCACCCATCAAATTCATTGTTCCATCAGTTGAAGTTATTGAAATTCTATGATTTGTTAATTATAATATTTTATCAGTTATGTATAGGGCTCATAAAAACACATTACCTTCAAACATTCAGTTACACTTTGTTAAAAGAGAGAGTTGTTATAATCTCAAGGGGATAAAGATGTTTGTTAAACCCAAATTTAGAACCAGTTTAAAAGGAACGGAGTACTTCAGTCCAGGGTATAAGATTATGGAATAATCTGGAAGATGACTTTAAAAATGCCAGATAAATGTGTATATTTAAGAGAATTTTAAAGATTAATTTGCTGGAGAAATATGTAAATGCATGAATTGTTGTTCAAGGAGTTAAACCTTTGTTATTTTTCTTTTTTTATAT